TCTAAAAAGATATTATTCTAGGACGAGTATTATATCATAACATTTTATCTTATTGTTATAGTAATCATAACGTGAATGTGTAGCAATTTTCACTAAAAACCATATCGAATAAAAATTTATACTCTCTCCGTTTTTATATATAGGATGTTTTGAAAGTTTTTTTTTAATATATAAGATGTTCTCATATTTCTATGTAGTTTTTACTTTTTATTGAATATTGTGTGGCCAATAATATTATACAGTTTTTTTTTTTATAATTGGCTGAGTTGTTCTTAATTAATATATTTATTTATATTTTTGAAAGAAAAGTTTTGTCTTAATCTTCGTGTTTTTTGCTAAAACATCCTATATAGAGAAACATAAGAAGTATTTTGTTTATAAAGATATATGTTGATATTGAACTTCATGTGAAGTATAATTGCGGTGTGAACACAATTACATGCAATACAATAAACCGAATACCCCACAATTAACTCGGTAGCTATCATTAAAAATTATATTTACTTAAAACATTCTTTCTTTCTGTAACTTTATATACGAACCAGTTTTTATTCATTGTGTGAGGGTTAAGACTCTCCCTGGTTTAACTCCCTCCCTTAGGATTTAGTTCCTTTTAATTTGCTAAAAAATATTTTTTTTAAAATAATTTGAAAACATTTATGGTAAGGTTTTATATATAGTTTTCAAAAAAAAAATTAGAACTTTTTTATTTGCTTAAAATATATATAGTTTATCTTTAAATTCCTAAAACGAATATTATCATATCGTTTTATCATGTTGATGCTGAACTTCATGTGAAGTATAATCGAAGTGTGAATACAATTACATGTACCACAATAAACTGAACACCCTACAATTAACTCTGTAGCTATCACTAAAAATCATATCTACGTAAAACTTTATGTCTTTCTGTAACGTTACATACGAACCAGTTTTTATTCATTGTGTGAGGGTTAAAACTCCCGTAGAGTTAAAGCTCCCTCCATTAGGATTTAGTTCATTTTAATTTGCTAAAACATTATTTGTTTAAATGTTTTGAATACATTTATGGGAAGTTTCTATAGTTTTAAAGAAAAATTAGAACTTTTCTATTTGTGAAAAATATTAGTAGTATATCTATAAAATCCACAAAAAGATATATTAGTATAAACCGAA